AACCTCTTCTGCTTCAGTTTGTGCCCATGGCCCCTTGTCCTGGCACTGGGCACCACTGAGAAGAGTCTGGCTCCGTCCTCGTGACCCCCACCCTTGAGATATTTGTAGGTGGTGATGAGATCCCCTCTCAGCCTTCTCTTCTCCAGGCTGAACAAGCCCAGCTCCCTCAGCCTTTCCTCCTAGGGGAGACGCTCCAGTCCACCCCATCATCCTTGTGGCCCTCTGAACTCTCTCCAGGAGTTCCTCATCTTTCTTGAACTGGGGAGCCCAGAACTGGACCCAGTGCTCCAGGTGGGGTCTCCCCAGGGCAGAGCAGAGGGGGTGGAGAACCTCCCTCGCCCTGGTGGCCACGCTCCTCTTAATGCACCCCAGAATGCCATCGACCTTCTTGGCAACAAGGGCACCCTGCTGGCTCATGGCCAGCTTGTCGTCCACCAGGATCCCCAGGTCCCTGACCCCAGCTGAGGTTCCATGCTAACTCTTCATCCCTGCGACCTTTTCCTGGTGACCACCTGGTGAAGACCAGCGTGAGCTGGTTACCAACAAGTCAAAATGGGAGCCCAACACCGAGCCTGAAGCCCTGGGAGGAGATGCTGGCCACCTGAGCTGAAACACCTTCTCGGGGTGGTCCTGGGGGGGCATTGCCTTCCCGAGCTGTGCCCCCAGAAGGGTTTGTCCCATTACATTCTCTTTTACCCCGTGAATATTAAAATCAGCTCAAAAGCCCCCAGCTGCCCTCCCTGTACTCAGGGCAGCTCCAGCTTTGTAAAGCCTCCACGAGCAGAGCTCGTGAACCTGGCTGGATTCGCGTGTGGCTCTTTGGCCCATGCTGGTGCAGACCCACAGGCTGTAAATGGCTTTACACTTGAACCACAAATCTTTCTAATTATTACCAGTCGCGGCTGATTAAAGAGTTATTGGCTGGGGTTTTAATGAAGTCTTATTTCCAACTCCTCTCTTTCACCGCCAGCGACGCTGGGAGCGCTGGAGTTCAGCCTGCTCTACGACCAGGAGAACAGCTCCCTGCACTGCACCCTCATCAAGGCCAAAGTAAGTGCTTCTCCCCCCTTTTTCCCTGCTCCTTTCCCCAATTTAATCCCACCTGGCTCCTGGCTCCCCCGGTGCGATGGGCTGGCAGCGTGGCTGCTGCTCCTGGCAGGGAAGGAGAGGGCTTTGCCCCGAGCAGGTCTGGGGTTTCAGCACATGGTGGCACCCGCTCGGGGCAGAGGACGAGGCTGTTGCCTTGCTGAACGTGTTTTGTCTTTCCCGAGTTGCTTCACGAGTGGCTTTTTCTCTTCCCTGGCCTCATCCTTAAGGAGGATTCGTGCGCCGTGTTTTCCTTATTCTCTTTTAGGGCTTAAAACCAATGGACTCCAATGGCCTGGCGGATCCCTACGTCAAACTGCACCTCTTGCCCGGAGCCAGCAAGGTGAGGCTTTGCCTGGTTTGGGTGGCTTTGGGCTGGAGAGGCCACAGAGGTTTCTCAAAGCCCCCTCAGGCCCCCCACCTTGTGTCAGGCTTCTTCCCCCGAGATTTCTCCGCGCAGTCGCTGGCTGCTGCTGTTTTAGCCAGGGGTGGTGGCTCTGCAAAGCGACGGTGCTTGCAGATGCTCTCCCATACCCAAGGAACAACTCGTCCTGCAGACCGGGACCTGCTTAGGGATGGAGGGGAGCTGTTAATGCATCATAAAACATCTGAAAATCTAATTCTTACTAGAGTTTGAACGTTCCGTTTGCTTTGAAGCTGAAGCACGTTCCCGCTAGAGCTGTGAAGAAATGACCATTGAGTAAACTCTGACTCCCCCTCGCCCCCCATCAAAGCAAGCCCTGGAAAGCTCGCGCCCCAGCCCAGCAAAGCTGATCTCGGTGGGGAACCCTTTGAGGAAGGATGGCCACCGCTGGCTCAGTGCCCGGGGGTGCTGGCTCCTTGCTCAAGGGCTGCAAAGCTCTTTGCTGCGGCAGAGTTTAGCTCAGGGGAACTAAATGGAAAACAAGGGGAAAACCTGATAATAAACCCATTGGATTGATATTTGCAGGTTTACGTAAAGCGCAGGGACTTTCTGGTCTTGCATGGAGTAAATCAAGGTGTCATGATCCTGGGAACCACTTTGATTTCTATCGCTCTCATTTGCTGATCTTCCTTTGAATTTTTTTATTCTGCGCCTGCGTTTGCGAAAGACTTGTGAACAAGCGTCAGAGCTCCTCCTTTCCTCAGCTGTCACCTCCTTGCAGACCTCAAGAGCTGTTACCCAAGCCTGCCCTGTGCAACTTTTGCTTGTCCTTGAGCGAGTAGACCCCAGATAGTTAAAAAACCCCAAAAAGCCGGGTGGTGAAGGCCGACCTGGCCACTGCAGGCGACCGAGTCCCTGGTCTTTGCGTACGGGTCCCCCTTGTTGGGTCGGAGATGCTTGCCTGGAGTTGATGGCTCACCGGCGCGATGGCCTCAGCGGGCAGCGGTGACGTCCTGCAGAGTCCTCCATGCCCCAGGCAAACCACCTCTTGTGAGCCGGAGGTGATGGAGTGTCTAATTTACACCCCTCTGCCAGGAGCCTGCATTTAGGCTGGGAGGAGTTCAGGGGTGTAACGATGCTGTGTTTTCGTTCTGATGCTGTAGTCAAATAAGCTGAGGACGAAGACGCTGCGCAACACCCGTAACCCTGTGTGGAACGAGACCCTGGTGTACCACGGCATCACAGATGAGGACATGCAAAGGAAAACCCTCAGGCAAGCAGCGGAGCGGGGTGGGATGAGGACCGTCCAGGGCAGCAGGGTGGGATGTGGACCATGGGTCTCCTTGCAGGGAGCATAGCAAGGTTGATGGTTGGACTTGATGATCTTAAAGGTCTTTTCCAACCTAAACGATTTTGTGGTTCTATGGTTGATGGTTGGGCTTGATGATCTTAAGGGTCTTTTCCAACCTAAATGATTCTATGGTTCTATGGTTCCAAGCTGGCCTTTCTCAGGAGGACACCAGCAGCGAGGCACAGGTGTTGAGAGAGCACCTGGAAACGCAGAGTTTTTGGTCAAAGTCAATGTGCTTCACCCACACGTGCTGATTTTGACGGTCCTTTTTTACAAAGAGAAAGGCTTTTTGACCCTGTCATTTAATATGAAATTATTTGCATTACTATTATTCTTATCAGCGTAGAGATTGGCGTATTGCGTATCTGTGCATGATGTGACTGTCCCAGCAAAACGTTTAGATGTCTCTCAAAACGTTTGACGTTCCCTTCCTACAAGAAATTTCTACCTTTTGCTTTCTGGCCCCATCACAGAGCACGTGTTTAAAGCGTTGATTTTTCTGGCAAGACAGAAGTCCTGTTTTCGGACGGCTTTTGGTCAGAGGAGAGCCAGATGGATGGAGGCTTCGATGGTGCTTTGCTTTGTCCACCCCTTGCAGGAGTGGGTTTGTGCTCCGGCGTCAGGTTCTGCTCCAGCCTGGTTGACGTTCACCTTTCCTGTTCCCTTCAGGATCTCCGTGTGCGATGAAGACAAATTTGGCCACAATGAGTTTATTGGAGAAACTAGAGTTTCCTTGAAAAAACTCAAAGCCAATCAGAAAAAGAACTTCAACATCTGCTTGGAGAGAGTAATACCCGTGAGTTTCTGTGAAATGGCTTTATTCTACCATTAATGTCGAGGTTGCTCACGAACGTGAGGGAACTACTGGTGAGCTTGGAGCTGGAACCAGCCAAGGGCGGTAGGTGCCTGACTTCACTGGCATCTTTAGGAGCTGGATTCCCACCCACGTCTGGGTTGATGTGACACATCAAGGCCAGGAGATAGGAGTTTGGTGGGAATCCAGGGGAAGTGACTCCGGGGATCTCCCTGGTGGCCGCAGATCTGCTGGCTGATGTATGTTGCTGCGGAGGAGAGGGCAGGGTGCTCCTTCCCTGAGCTCTGGTCCCCAGTGCTGTGGGCGAGGGGGAGGTTGATGGAGCAGATGAATGTACTTGAGCCCCCTTCGACTCCCGCGGCCAGCAAAAGAGCTGGGCTGGGCTCCTGGGGGTGTTCTCACCGTAGGACGGTGCCTCTCCTGGCTGTGGTCACTCATGGCAGTCTCCCTTTTTCCCTTCCCCATCCAAGATGAAGCGTGCTGGAACGACCGGCTCATCCCGTGGGATGGCACTGTACGAAGAGGAGGTAAGTCCTTGGAGGACCACATGCTCCGTGCATGATTGACTCATTATCTCTCATGAATGAGGACCAGTTTTTTCCCCCCCTCATGGGGATACAAGGTTCCCTTGTATCCATCTTGATTCATCTGCTCTGCGGTTGAGTCTTCCTCGCTCAGCCACCGTGTCCCCATCTCTGGTTGCTTCCCCTTGCAGGTAGATCGTGGTGGGGATGTGGAGGAGCGTGGGAAGATCCTCGTGTCCCTCATGTACAGCACCCAGCAGGGCGGCTTGATTGTCGGCATCGTCCGCTGTGTGCATTTAGCAGCCATGGACGCCAATGGATACTCGGACCCCTTCGTTAAACTGTAAGTGGGAGCTGGGAATGGCTTAGCATGGTAACGCGTGGTCAGGGAGCCACCCACTCTCCTTGGGCGGCAGCTGATGCTCCGAGAACTCCTTCCAAAACCACTGGAGAGAGGAGAGCGTTTGCCAAGCACCTCGAGACCTCACGCAGGACTGAGCTGCCCACCGGTGGTGCCTGTGCAAGGTGGTAACACCCCTGCCATGGCTGAAGCGAGGTGAGACTGACCCAGCCCTTAGGCCCATCCGTACCCTGTAGGTTCCCAAACAGACCCAACAGCCACCCCGTAGGTGCGAGGCTGGAGGACAAGAGCGATCCTTCTCCCTGGCTTTGACCCACCGTGCCTGCGGGGTGGAGAGGGCTTGATGTCCCTCCGCGCATGACGAGGAGCTCGTGTCCCACTTGATGTCTGCGGGCTGGTTGTAGCAGGGAGCCCAGGGATCATCCTGCTCTGCCCGTCCCTGTCCCGTGCCATGTCTCCACGGCAAACAAATCACCCTAACTAATGGAGACAGCGGGGTGTGCTGCAGTTCGTGCCAGCGGTGCCTTGCTGCGACAGGGAGCGGGTCCCCTCAAGCGGCAGCGCACCCGTCGGTGCTCTCGGCTGTGGAGGCAATGGGGGAGTGGCCACTTGCCCAGTGGCTCTTGCAGACAGGGGGGGAATAAGATCGTTTTAGCCTGAACCTCATCAACTGCAGCACGGAGAGGACCCTGAGGTCGTTCCTGGTCATGGTTGTGGGTCGCGCAAATGGGTTTACGTTGCTGTTTTCTCTTTGCCTTCAGAAAAAACTTCTCTTCTCCCTAGAAGTCATTGAGTAATGCGCGTGTTGGACGTCTTGCACATCTTTTTGTAGCTTCTCAGTCTGTCTCCTTATATTTTCCATTCCCACAAACAGAAGATGGCGCCTTTCCATTTTTACATCAACTTCCATCACAGATCTAATTAGTGCCAGCTTATTTCTGGGTCTGCAGCCTGGCTGCAAAGCCCGAGCCCTAATTTTTCCCATGTTCTGCAGGTGAATCTACCTTGGCTGAGTATATTCATCTGCCGGGTATTAAACACTAATGGGCTTTGGGGTTGGGTTTTTTCATATTTCTCCCTATCTCTGCATGCGTTCGGGTGTTCTTGGCTGGCTTTTCCAGCGGCCAGACTCAGCGACCGGCTGTGTGATTGCCCTTATCCACTGGCAACCCGGGGTGGGGGTGGGGGGGAGGGAAAAAGAGTATTCAGGATTTTATTCATTTTACATTTATTTTTGATAATTTTCGATGGTGGCAAGGGAGACTGGCTAACCCATTTCTTTGCCTTCAATATCTACAGCTGCTGTTTTCTAGCCCCCCAAACTCGCTTTTTTCAGCTTATAAACTCACCCAGTTCTTGCTGCGTGAGTTTTGAGCTGGTTTGTGTTGCCCCCAGTTGGCTGAAACCTGATATGGGAAAAAAGGCCAAGCATAAGACGCAGATTAAGAAGAAAACATTGAATCCCGAGTTTAATGAGGTAAGGACCGATCTGATTTTTATATTATTAAATCAACGTAGCCAGTTACTATGTTGTGGGGAGGGGGTGGAAGACCAGCTCCCCAAGGTCCGGCTCCTCGCCCAGCCTCATTTTCCCCTTTCTGGGAATATTTTAGGGATGATTTTGCCATGGAAGATCTCACCAGTTCAGTGCTGGGCACACTGGTACGCACCAAAACCTCCCTGCTGCCGGCTCCGTGTCGCCCCGGCCGGGGGTATGGGTGGGATGAGCTGGTGCCACTCAATGGGAGACTGGCAAAACGTTCCCTTAGATACGAGGGTTGAGCTCAGCTTATGGCTTTGGGCCGTATGTGGTGATCCGGGGAGGAGAGGTGCTGCAGGGAAGGGGCGTTTGCTCTTCGTTAGCATATTTTAAATACCCGCTCACTGGGGTTTGAATTCAGGCTGCACAGAGAGAGCATTCGCCGTTTTCCACGTGTGTTTTCTTGGGATGCTTGGGGTGACGTGGGTGTCCTCCTCCCGCAGGAGTTCTTCTACGATATAAAACACAGCGATCTGGCCAAGAAGTCACTGGACATTTCTGTCTGGGATTACGACATCGGGAAATCGAATGATTACATCGGTGAGCTGCCAGTCTCTGTGTTCTGGGGTGCAGTTTTGATGCCCGATATAGAATCCTAGGTTGGAAGGGGCCTCAAGGACCATCTGGTCCAACCTTCCTAGGTAAAAGCACAGTCTAGACAAGATGGTCCAGCACCCTGTCCAGCTGAGTCTTAAAAGTGCCCAAAGTGATGTGGTTGCCGCTGTACGGGAGGGCCACGTAGGTTGCCTGCCCTGTGAGGAACCCCAGGCTGAGCTTCGAGGTAGGATCATGCAGGTTGGTTGGGCACCATCAAATGGCTGATCCAGCGTTGGGATCCACCTCACTGCCCCATCTCCAGCATCCCATGGGGTCTTCTGTGCAGGCAGAACATCTCTAGTTGTTTCCATGAGATTTTAAAATCCAGGAGGTGGAAAGAAATGCTTGCAAACGTGGGGTCTGTCCCCGTGGAAGTGGTTTGCTGGAACGTCAGCATCACCTCTGAATAGGATGTCTCCTTCCTGGAGTCTCTTTCTCTGGAGATATTCAAAGCCCACCTGGACAATGTCCTGTGCAACCTGCTCTAGGTGAACCTGCTTTAGCAGGAGGGTTGGACTGGCTGATCTCCTGAGGTCCCTTCCAACCCTTGCCATTCTGTGATTCCCTTTCCTCCAGGTGGCTGTCAGCTCGGCATTACGGCTAAGGGGGAGCGCTTGAAACACTGGTATGAATGTTTGAAGAACAAGGACAAGAAGATCGAACGCTGGCACACCCTCCAAAACGAGAACCACGTTGCCAGTGATTAAAGGGAGCTGCTGCCCGAACCTCCCCAAACGGCCCATCCTCTGCCAAGCCCCTGTAGATCTCTGATGTCCGTCTTCCAGTGCAGCCATGCCTTGCTACACGCCTCTGGTCCCCGGGCAGCAACGCTCTTCTGCCTCCTCCGAGCATCCCCCGAGTGCCCTGTCCTCACCTCTGCCTGAAAACTAACCCAGAACTTTTGTATTCACTTCCTTTGGGTTTGGTTTTTGCTTTTGGGGAGGGGGGGGGGATCATTGAATTACCCTGGTGTGTAATTTTGTCAAGCAATAGTTACCCTCTGACTGTTCCTCTTTCTCACTAGTCTCACGCACGCCGTGATAACCTTCCTGTTGTGTGTGTGTGTGATGCTCTGTGTTTCTTCAGCCTCCGCTCGCGTGGCTCGTCCCCATCACCGCTGGCTCGTGGCTCCGTTATCTCCCCGCGGGATGCGCGGCCACCGGCCCGGCCATGCTCTCGTCCGGCGGAAGGGAGGTTGAGCGCTGGTGTCGGAGCATCGACCCGTTCTGCTTGTGTGATATTGATACCTCAGTTGCAATAACGAACAAGCTGTTTGGCTTTGGTGTGGGTCGTAACCGTAGCCTGGTATCTGTGTTGTCGTGATTAGGCTAAAGCCTGTGTCACCGATGTAATCCTGCGAGTCGTGCTTGAGCTTTAGTTCTGACTTGGTACATTTGAGCAATATTGTGGTACATCCTTTGCTGAGAAGATCCACCAATAATACAAATAACGATAACGAGAAACAGGGAGCCGCTCTGTGCTCGCAGGGAGATGGAGATTTGGGTTGGTTTGCGTTGGTTTCCAGCCGCTACGTGCGGTTCCTTCCGCCCCAGGAACCGTGCGCTCCAGCGCTGTAGGAGCGCACCCATCTTTCAGGCTCATGCCTACCTCCTCCTTGCGTCCTGGCTGCGTAGTAGTGACGAGCTGAACCTCGAGGGTGGGCCCTGGGCCCTCCTCGGACTGTCCTTTCCATTGCCAACTGTTTGCCGTGCCACGTGCAGGAGGGAAGCCGAGGGAGAAGATGCTTCCCACCCACTAGCTGATGCGTGCAAGGATTATTGCTTTAAAATACCACAAATATTGCAATTAGCTGGAACAGTTAGAGGTCTTCCAACTTTGGGGGTTTTTTGGGTTGGTTTTTTTTCTTTTTTTTTTTTTTTTTTTTTTTTTGCACAAGAACCCTTGTCTTCAACCCGCACTTTAATGATCGTCTGGAGGTGTTTGGGTTGTTCTCAATAGCAGGAGAGTCACGAGGCTTTCAGGCCGATGCCGCTGGGGTTTGGTACCATCCTCTGCCTCCGGACAACCTCAAGCCTAGCGATGGCGATAGCACGATAAGCGCTATCGGGATACGCCATTGGTCAGCAACACTCTGCGCATATTGTCCAAAACCCCAGCCCTCTATCGTCCCTCCCCACTATCGTCCCATGACGCCCCTTGCACCCCGCTCCGGTAGCCTGTTGTCATGTGGTGTGTCCTCAACTCGGCTGTACCGCAAAGCCACTCCTTTCGCGTTGGATGAGTTATTTTCTTATTCTTGAGTATTATTTTTATTTTTTCCCCCCACCCTTCCCCCAGCAGAACTGGCTCCGAGTGCCGACTTGCAACGAGCGTCACTGCAGAGCTGGGATTTCTGTGGCTGGTGGGGGCCGCGTGCTGAGCGATGCTGAGGTCACTGCGTGACGCTGACATCACTGCGCGCCGAGGGACGCTGCAGCACAGCCCTTCCCCGGCCTGGCTCAGGAGCTCTGCTTCCCCCCCAGCCCTGGCTGGCTGCTGCCAGCAGGTTGTACCCAGCTCTCCACCAGGAGCCACCCTTGGACCAGGGATGGGGGGAAGCAATCTTGGACCAGGGATGGGGGGAAGCAATCCTGGACCAGGGATGGGGGGAAGCAATCCTGGACCAGGGATGGGGGGAAGCAATCCTAAACCAGCCTGGGCAGCCTCGGCTCCTCTCAGCCGCGCTGGGGCAGCTCTTCCACCACCCCAGACTCCGTCCCCGTGGATGAGCCGAGAGCTGCTCGGGGCATCGTGCGTGGAAACATGTAATGGGAGAGGATGCTCAAAAAACTGGCTTTCCTCTCCCTTTCGTGCAGTTATTGACTCTGCACCAGTAAGTCCAACATCCCAGAGCCCCCAGCCATGCTGCCCTCTGGAACAACCTCATTCTTTTGGATCGTTTCCCTCTGTTCCCTGGTGCAGCCAGGCCGGAGCCCTCACCGCTCCGGGCATGGATGGTTTTGCTGTAGGATGCTGCCATCATCCCTTTCGGCACGATAGACCCGGCCCAAACCTTTGCCCAGCCCTTGCCTGCACCTCTTAGAGCAGCCCTTGGGTATCCTGAGCTGCGCTGGGGAAATGTGTGGCTGGGGATGAAATTACCTTTAAAAAGAAATAAAAAGATCTGAGCGCTTCCTTAATTTGTGCGTGCGGAACAATTCCACGATGGAATTCCTTTATCCATGTCCCGTACTGGCCGCCTCCCCTCAGCCTGCTTTCCCTCCAGCCAAGCGATACTCGGATCATCTCTTCCCACCCACAAAAATACAGCGCAAGGTGCCGAGCCCCCTCTCCCTATCGTGCAAACCACAGCCCTCAGTTTTTTTTTTCTGATGGTAATTTCTGCCCTGAATGACTTCTTTTTGTTGTAAATAAAGCATGCACATATGGATTGGGAATGGTGCAAAAGAACAAAAAAAAAAAAAAAAAAGCCTCTTCTACTGCTGTTTGCATTCCAACTTGCATGCAGTGATTTTACAGCAAAATACCAGTTTACAACTGTTAAGAGAAAAAGAAAATGTTACACAGGAACTAGAAATACTCCAGTCTTCCGCTGCATGCAGCACAACAGCCTCTCTTGATGTAGTATCTAATAAAGTGAGACTACTGGAAAAGAAAAAAAAAAAACAAAACCAAAACAAACCATGATGGTGTTTGGCTTCTTTCGTTCCCAGCGGGAATACGACCCCCGGCGTGGGCTGGTAGGGGTGGGCAGTCATGGTGGGCTTGGGAGCGCTGGAAAATTGGTTGTTGGGTTCAAGGGGTTGAGGAGGGGTTTGGGATGGCGAGGTTATGGCCCCTTCCCTGCAGGCTCTCCTGCACCCCCGGGGGGGGGGGTAACGGGGATGATGGACACGTTGGGGAACAGCGCAGGGTAAAATCCTGGGAATGGAGTCTTTGTACATAGCCGAGACATCCATGGGCTCCTGATCACTTCGTGGCTCCTTGGGTGCAAACATGATGGGTGCATGCTGCCAGGGAACACTGTGGCACATGCCCCTTCCCTGCAGGCTCTCCTGCACCCCCGGGGGGGGGGGTAACGGGGATGATGGACACGTTGGGGAACAGCGCAGGGTAAAATCCTGGGAATGGAGTCTTTGTACATAGCCGAGACATCCATGGGCTCCTGATCACTTCGTGGCTCCTTGGGTGCAAACATGATGGGTGCATGCTGCCAGGGAAGACTGTGGCACACGTGGTGGTGGCTGCTGTTTTGCTCTGGTGCTTCTGCAGGTCCCTTCAAAAAGCAAACCCACCCCATGAGAACTGAACCTCCTGGTGCCCTTCTTCCCACCCCAGCCCTTCCTCCCAGTTTTCCCGTGGAGCTGCAGCTCCTGTTGCACCACTGCAGGGAAATGCAACTGCCAGCCGCTGCACCACCCAAGCAAAATTTTTGTGCGCCCCCCCCCCCTTTATTTTTTTCATTTTTGCATTTTTAGTCTCGGTTTCCAACAGATCATCAGGTGCTGGCCACAGGGAAGGGCATGCCGGGATGGTGGGAGCTCCTGGGAAGACAGCGAGCGGTGGTTCCACAGGGGCCGTGTCCCAACCCTGGGCAGGGGGACATGGGTCTGCTTTCTCCAGGGATGTGGGTCTGCTTTCTCCAGGGACATGAGTTTCCTTACCACCCAAGCAAAATTTTTCTTTCTCCAGGGATATGGGTCTCCTTTCTCCAGGGACATGGGTCTGCTTTCTCTAAGGACATGGGTCTCTTTCCTTCAGGGACACCTGCACCCTCCATGTACCCAGAGGGCCCGTGGGGACGGAGTGGAGCCGTGGAGGGCGGCTGCGTGATGGGTCCGGTGCCGATGCCCAGCGACAGCAGCAGATGTCACTGATGCTCCAGGTATGGCAGGAGGTGCCAGAAGGATGGCCACAACCAGGGCTGGTGTCCCCTCAGCACTCTCCATCCTGGTGGTGGGACCTCCTCAGTATCAACCATCGAGGTGGTGGTGGTGGGACACCCCCCCAACCCCTCAGTAGCACCCATTGAGTTGGTGGATGCTCAAATGCAACCTTCACCCAAGCTACGGCTGAGCCTCCATGGATGGGGGGGGTGGGGGGGCTCCCCCAGCCCCATGGCTGCTCCCACACACCGCAGGTTTAACCCATGGTTTCCCTGAGGCCAGGCCAGTGGGGGTTCTTCAAGAGAGGTGTGTGGGCAGTTAAAAAACTCCTGAGGTGTCCATGCTGATGAGATGTCATCGCAGTGCATTGCCGTTGGCTCGAAAATAATTGCCTGAGAGAGACCTGCAGGCCAGGGTCCACCTTCCTCCCCTGCACCACCGGTGGTCAGCTGGACTCATCTTGGGGCAAAAAGGTCAAAATGGCAAGTTACCTACCACCTTGTGGCAATTAGGTGGTGCGTAGAAGAGCAGCAGCAATGACTGGTATAGAAAATCGCCGAGATATTTAAAATTGTCACATGTCCTGCTCTTAATGAAGACCTTGAGCTCTCCCATACCTCATGTTCTCATGCACGCTGGCAGGAAAAGCACCAGCGCTTTAGCATACACAGCAGTGCCTGAACTGTCTGAGGTGATCTCCTTTCTGGGGGCAAACTCCAAGGAAAAGGGGAAAAATGAGGCTGGCTCCCAGTGAGCTGCAGGATGGGCCGGCATGGCTTCAGAGGACGAGGAGAAGGCTGGCTTGCAAGGACAACAAGCACGAAGCTCCTTGGTGATGTCATGCTGGACGCAAAGAGGCT